GGGGAATCCTCTCAAAACTCCAGCTTTTTGGCCTTTCAAGTTCCGGAGTTAGTAGTTTACCCGCAAAAAATTTTCTTTGGCTTATACGTGGGAACCACGTGGACAAAACTATCCATTTTGGGAACAGAGACCCGTCCATACATGTAGGTTAAGCTCCCAAAGTTTCAGCCTTGTAGCTTTTGTAGGTCTCGAGATGAAAAACCGGTATAGACGCAAATACAGGGACACACACACACACACATACACGCAGAAAACCCCTCGTTAATATGATATATTCAAAAAACGCATTAAAAAAAGCATCAGAACTGCTCTGTTTTACGAAATTGTAACGTCACAGCGTGCTCTGAGAAAACTATAATATTGGGTTCATAGCAAAATTCGTGTTGTGGAGAATGAGCTAACATTTTCCTGCTGCATTAGGCAATTTTTTGCCAGCGAGCACATAAAACCGCTAATTTCTTGTATCTGTATTTATTGAATAGAAGGAAAGACTACGAAACCAAGAAGTGAAAAGAGGTAGTGGCGAACATATGTTGTAAAAAAATGTTCAGGAGATGTAATGAGGACCTGTAGGAAGGCTAAATGTGAAACTGGCTATCTGTGTTTCATCCCTAAGCTGTAAACATAGACAGTATTCGGTGCGGATTGGGGTGGAAATCTACGTTTATCAATGGAAGGTGCTTATGAAATCATTCGACAACTTTTTTTTTTCAGTCAGAATGATCAGTGTGAAAAAATACCTGGGAGTCTTAGTTTGATTTTGCTATTATTATCTGTTTCGTTTTTTCTTTTTCAGGTCTTTCATGGTGCCGACAATGATATCATTTGGCTACAGAGAGATTTTGGCATTTACGTTGTGAATATGTTCGACACCCAACGAGCTATGAAGGCGCTCGATTTCTCGAAATTTTCATACCAATATCTTGTTCAGGCGTGTTGCAATCGTACTCTGGATAAGAAATTACAAAAAGCCGATTGGCGCCTGAGGTTTCTTTTCTGATTTTTATGCACAACGGGGTCCGAAATTAGGGTCGGTAATAAAATTCGTAAAAGTTTAAATCGTTTCTTGATAATGATTGTTTGGTAGTAGCGTGCTGTTTCTTTGAATAATGTTCAACACCCCGAAAACTATGAAGGTCGCCCGATTTGTTGATTATAATTGCTAATTATTAGCTAACTTTAGCTCACACATGCACAGCGAATGTCTGTGCAAAGTTTCAGCTTCCTGTTTTGTCTGGTTCGTGAAATCGTTTCCGCCGAGGAAATTTGCATATTTTTTGGGGGGTCCGTACGCGAGGTCTAGGCACGTATGAACGAAGATTTTAAAAAATGAGGGTGTTCCCTACTCATGAGGATCACATGAAACAGCTGGAGGAGCATAGTGTTTATTTGTTGTTTTCCTTTTCAAAAACGAAAAAAGCTTGTAGACTGGGCAATTTATGCAGGAATTTCGCGGTAAAAGATCACTTGTAACGTTCGGACGGAGGAGGACCTGGGGCTGGGGTGTCTGGCTGCGGGGAAACTGAGCAACACCATGCAATAAACTCACTTCTTTATTAGTACAATTACTCAAAAAAAAAAAATATTTAAAAAGAACGCGACGAACCTAAGATCCGCCCGGCCGCAGCTCCATGCTGCCACCGTGCACTTCCAGATCACGAAAAAGAATACAATTACAATGACAG